ACTTTGCTGTTACAACAAGTGGTAAAAGGGAATTAAAATGTGAGATCACCTCCCTGGGCTTACACTGAAAGAGAGTACGAGTAGTAGGACACATTGGGCATTTCCTTACCCTTTTTAAGCCAAGAGACCTTATTTTATAATCCTGATTCATTTCCTTTAGCATACAGAATTAAGGTAGCTTTTAAACTTAGAAACTTGGGGGGGGGGGGAGGAACAGTGGTACCAATAGACTGTACTCTATAGACCACTTCTTCTTCAACCTTCACAACCCTAACAGACACCTTGTTCAAAACTCTAAAGGGTGAAATGGTCACCACCCTAAATCAGCAGCACACACCCATCTAGGCCAAATAAGCCAAGGGTAGTATCGTAGAAAGAACTGCTGAGAGGATAGGGCTCAAGCCCAACAATAACTTCTCTTGATGGTTGATAAAAAGTCAATTTTACCTTGTATCATTTAGTTGTAAATCAGATTCATAACTTACACAAACAATAAACTTAAGTTGTATATTTTTCAAGCTTCTTCTGATTCTCTTTATAAACTTTGCAAAACATTCAATTTTCTTTTTTCTGTTTCTTGTACTTCAGTCCTTTGAGGGATTTTCTCAACGCATACTCGTTCCTGATGTACTCACTCTTATTAGCAACTGAATTAGCCTCTTGTTCTTACACTAAACCACTATAATCATTTCAAGTATAATTCATAACTAAAGGGTAATTTTTGTACCAACAATTTCAAGGAAATACTTGAAACCGAAGTCACTATATAATACAAAACTACTAAATACGGTATTGCTGTTGGAAATTTATTGATTATCACTCTAGTGACATTCCAGTGAAGGTTTTGAAGGTTCAGTAAACCCCTCCCAGCCTTCTGATATTAAAAATAGCTTATACTGACAGACCCAGTATATGTGAAGCAAAGTGATTGGAACATTTACCCTGGTTTTTACTAAATTGGCCCTGTATTCTGTATTTACGCCCATAAATATTTGTTGTGCCTCCCGGTGTACACAAACAAACTTACGAACTGCGAAGTAGAGAATCAGTGGTTTAATGAACATTCACATATGACTGTTGCAAGACTCATACCAAAATATTGTGCTCGTAGCATATGTTTAAGATAAGGAAGAGAGTCTTAATACCACTGTAAGTGGAAAAATATAAGAGATGGAGCAAGATTCACGAAGCGTAAAAATAACTGAACTTGCCAAGATCTCGAATCACGATAAGTGAAGTCACCCAAAAACTGTTCATACATCACGCCTCCTGATTTCCAAAAGGTCCATTAAAAAAGTTCATAGAAACCTTTTCTTGATATTTGTATTCGGGAAAACTTAAAACCAAGCAAAAACTCATCGTCCTTCCATGTCTGCATTCTCCGCCATATTTGTTTTCAAGGAAAATTTGTACTCAGTGTCACCCGGCCGAATTTCTTAACTGGGGCGATCATGTAAACTCGGTTCCAGACCTCGCTGCCAGCCCCCCCTGGACTACTCATTTTAAAACAAAGTATTCTGTATTCTCTATCTATTTTCACAGCTAAAAATACCTATCTTCAAAACAAAGTGTTTCATTTCATCTGCCCATGCGCATTTTCGCTTTCAAACAACCAACAAAAATAATTCTCAGAAAGAAAGGAGCCGACTTACGTTTTTAACCTGCTTTAATGCCACTTCAGCCAAGGTTTAGTAACAGGAGGACTTAAAAAGGTTTTTCTGAAATTCTTTGGATTTCAATTTTCAATTTTCTATGATCGTGACCCAATTGCCAAACATGATTTGAAACTTCGAGTCGATCCCAATTGAAGGAGGCCTAAGGCAAGCTTTGCGTACCCTAATTTTAAATGTCATAATAAGCAATCATCCACGTGAAAACAACTAAAAAGGAATATTTAGAAACTTATCGAATTATCAGAATGTTGCATGCACGCCCCTTAGTATTGCCTATGATAATCTTGATATCCTTTTCGATAGACTATTATGTACCCCTAATAAGGAAGCATCCTGTCTGGGATTTATGAAGAAAATCACGCGAAAACTACTAAATATGACTATTTGCTAGACATACTTATTATTGCCCATTTTATTAACTTTTTCCACGTTGACATGTTCATAACATTCATTTAGCGAGAGATTCTTCCCAGACAGTGGATTTATTGACAACTCAAAGTTTCTTGGAAATGCCGTCTTCATAAGTTAAAAAAAAAGATTTTGTTTAATTTTATGCAGATTACTTTACCTTACAAAACAAAATGACCATTGCATTTTTATGTTTTCTCATCTACTAATAGTTTAATCCAATTAGTGGGAGGCAAGGCTATACTTGCATGTAGCTTGGTCGCTTTTCCTTCAGCTCGTTTAGGGAGGCCCTTAAAATTAAATTGGCCAATGGGCAGTCATGCACATAACTGCTTAACTTAAGTGTTCATTAGATTAAATTCTATATTCCCAAAAAATTAAGAGAAGTAGGGCAAGGGTTAATGGACGCTGCAGCAAAGTCACGTTTCTGATAACACTCCCAACAAGTGGCGCGTAGCTCTAATTGACTGCCCTTTTAGGCCTTAGTGTACTTATTACATTCCAAAATGCCAGATTTCCCTATCTTTTTATACACTTCAATTAGTGAAAATCCTACCGTTTCATATACCCGAAGCCCAAAAAAGGTAGCTCTTTCGGGTCTCCGTAGAGGCTGTAGTGGAGAGTACCCCGGGGCCAGGGTCCTCTTATATTACTAATTAAAAGAACTGACACAAACCCTTAAAAGAAAAAAAAATAACCTATTTGTCGGCGAATATTTCCTTTCTTACCAAATTGGGATTTCACGGTTGAAAATAAAAAGATAAAAGATTTCCTTCCGCCGGAACAGTTCGAATTTTGCTTTGTCATAATGACAATCTTATTGTTATTGTGATTTTTAGGTATTGCCGTATTCCGGAATACGAACAAATGGGATTAACTCTAGACATTGCTTGTATAAGAGGTTACTCTATCAAAACATCGGTACTGTGACATCTGACTCGGTGATTAGCGCATGATATTGATACAGATTGACTCCTTTGAGGTCTTGTTTGTAAATACAAGTTGTCTTATTTTTATCAGCCTAAATTTTCAGAGATTAGTTACTTTAAGTAGTTAAGTAAGTGTTATGACTGACTTATCATCTTTGAAGATTGTGTTTTGAATAGTTGCAACTTGTTAATTGAAACTAAATTTAGTTTTTGCATGTGCGGAGGGGCGCTGTTTTTACAGCCTTGCTGTTAGGCGTTTACACTATAACCTCAATTTTCATTTAAGTTGTTTCTTGTTATGATTATTATGATTATTATTTTTGTTATTAAATTTGTTGTTGTTTTTATGAGTAGTAGTAGAAGTAGAAGCAGCAGTGGTACTTTTATTGATTTTCAGATTATATAGTGTCGACCAGTGGTCCAGTGGTCCAAAATCTCGATAGATCACAGTGTTTGTAACAGTGTTTTTGTGTACTCATTCCAGGGGAATAACGTCAATACAAAACACTCTTCAGAATTTCCATCAGTCTCTGATAACAAAGATTACAAAAGAGGGCTTAAATTGGTGAAAGATTCTTCGAGATGAGGTCATTAAAAGCGCAAAAAAGAACCAGGCCAATATTCAGCCACCTTGACCGAACAAGCTCCGGTCAATATAAACCATTTTGTTGTATGGCCAAAGAAAAAACTTTTTCTTGCGCGACCAAGGCGGCAAATACCGCTCGAGTAGCCAGTCGTGATCAGAACCAACACAATTTGCTTCATCGCTGTCAGCTCGCTGATTCAATCGTAAAATAAATAATTTTTCTGCATTTGGATAAAGTGGTCCAGAGGTGAATGACTTAAAAGAGATTTACAAGCTTTCATCCATAGTTTCGGCGGCAAAAGCTACAGACATTTTGCATTTAGTAAATATTGTTGCACATACAGCCGAAAAATTAAGTGGCTACATTGAAATAGTAAAACGATGAAGGCTTTTAATCTTTCCCTTGGATTTGGATATACTAACAGCTAAGACTTCCATGTCAAGACCAAGCCAAACTAAACCAAACTAACGTTAGAGGGTGACGCAAACCCTTGTCCTTCTAGATGTCCGGCCCAACTAACTGGGGACGGAATTTTAAGACGGTTGGCTTTTGTGAGAGGAGGAAATCGGAGCTCCCGGAGAAAAACTGCCTCTCAGATCAGAATAGAGAACCAACACCAACACTCATTAGAACCTACGTACTAAGTCGACAACGAGTCTCGATTATTCGCGGCGGCGTAAATGCTCTCGTCACTTCTCCATCATACCCTAAATTTCCAGTTTCAAAACTGAGAAATACAGTTTTCGTTTTTTTTGAAAGAAAACGTGTTTTGAATAATGTGTTTAACACACTTCATGCTTCACCAGAAAAAGATACTAAATTTATAAATCATGAATTCACTGAAAATGTCGCTTGTTCGTTATCGAGATCACTTACTTGGTGCCCGGGACAGTCAATATTTCAATTTATCTCAGTGATATAGCAAGAGTATGATTTATCTGTAACAGGTTTTACAACGATCTTGAGCGAGGGCAGAAAGAAAAAATTCGTCTTGTCGTTTCAAAGCTGTCTCCAATATATCATAATGTGGCGAGTTTAACTTACCTGTCTCGACCTGTCGGCCGGTGCAAAATTAAAGTGAACATGAATTGCAAGAGTATGTATGTTTTAGGTCTTTTTAAATTCGTTTGGTTATTGGAACTAAGAACTTGTTTATAATGAATGTTCATGTCAAAATTGTCATGAAAGCGCCAAGAACAAATCTCACACCAACGTAGAATGTGTTGAATAGTGAATTATAAGGTGAAGGCTAAGAACATAATAAGGCAGCCTCGTAGAAGGACTCACTCTACGATTCCGAGAAAAAATGAGGTACTGTTCGCAGACCAGACTAACCCGGCAGAGTCGAGGGTCCGGAGCTGCCGAAGAAGGCTGTCCGGTGCTGAATCTTTGTATTCCTTAATCTAACAGGCAGGTCTCACAATCATAGAAACGGGAATCTTCTTGCTTACTAACTGCGGATTTGTATCATGAGAAAGGGCAGGCTCATGAAGGTTAAAACCATGTGACACTGAGAATGATAAAAATGGAAAGAAAACTCGACTTCTTGAAGAGCAGTTTGCTGACGAGAAAGAAGTTCCCAGCCTGTGCCCGCAGCGACAAACTCGTGGTGAATTGAAAGGATGTACAGGCCAAGACGAAAGTCTTCCTTGAGAAGGAATAAAACAAGAAAATGGTTGTGTAGCAGTTGTACAACTTATGCGCATCTGAGGCACCAAAGGCTTGTACTCCCGTGGTTCATGTTCACCAAGACTTGATTTTGGTGTTGGAAACCGATCGCGATAAAACGACCTTGTGATTCCTGGTTTATAAGTGTAAGGAAGGTTGTTAAACTTGTAGACCAGCCTTTGGCCTTGCACCTGCGCCCAAAAGAATAGAAAATGAGGAAAAACTGTCAAGTCCCTTTTAATAACACTTGTGATTTGTTAAAGTAGAGACACAAAATTCGATATTTATGTGAAATATATGTATCCTCACAGTTTCTCGGTAGCTTTCATTTCTTTTAATGAAAATCATCGACATGCTCAAAAGTCTGGCTAAATCTCTTATCTGGCTGTTAAAATTCAAGTCGTTGAAATGTCATAAAAGGGTCTAACTGAACGGAGCCATGAGCTCTTCTTCCATGGATAAAGTGTGTGAATTGGCAAATGATTCAAGATCTCAAAAGATTCCGGTCCAGGCACAGCTGTTGTCCGTCAACTTGAAATCAGGTTGTAAAAAAAAAAATATTAAGCTACGGCAGCAGGATAAGCTCAGTTGGTAGCGCGCTTGACTGCAGAGCGAAAGGTCGTGGGTGTAATTCATTACCGAGCCTGGACCAGTCGTCAGTGTCTTAATTAAGAATATCTGAAAAATGAAGTTACTGCCTTTGCCCAGCGAACGGCTAGACCGTCGCTTGGCTCGAATGACCACACCGTAATTTTTAGGGAGTTATTTTTACTCCAAAAATGGAGTAAAAATTTTAGGTACAGGATAACCCCTTTTTTGGGGTTATTTTAACTCCTAATTTAACTCCGAATTTGGGGTCATTTTTACTCCTGAAAAAGAGTTCTTTTTACTCCCAGTCTGGAGTTAAAATCACTCGGAAATGGGGTTACTTGTACTCCTTACATGGGTTGTTTTTACTCTTTTTGGAGTTAATTTAACTCTGAAAGTGGAGTAAAAATTTTAGGTACAGGATAACTCCTTTTTTGGGGTTATTTTAACTCCTCAATATCTGGGGTCACTTTTACTCCTGAAAAAGAGTTCTTTAAACTCCTTTTTGGAGTTAAAATAACTCCACGAAAAATAACTCCACTGTAAGGAGTTAAATTAGCCCCACTGGAGGAGTTATTATAACTCCCTGAAAATTACAGTGCAGGTAAAATGGCGTTTTCATCTCCAGAGGGAAACGTAGAAACAGTGTCCTCAAATAGTCCTTTGCAAAATACATTGATACTTAAACAAAATGCTTTGGTTTAAAGCTAATACCTTGGTAATTATTCCATCTCGATAGTACAATCTCAAGGCCCGACTTAGCTTCCCGTAGTCCATTCTACCCCTCTGTTTCAATATTCCCCATCTTTTGGCCACCTCCTGTTGGTTCAAAAGCTCAAACTCTCCTTCTTCCCTCCTTCTCCAGCATATTATAGATCTGCAGCTCTCATCAGCCAGAAGTTCCAAGAGAAACTCCCAAAGATGCAACATATTCTTGTACCTGTGTTCCGAACGTGCTGAATTTCTGCAGCTCTGCAAAGGGCCCTTCCCAAGCTGCCCAGGAGTACCAAATTCATTGTCACGCATCTTCTTTCTGAAATTAATTTCCTCTGCTTTGAAGGGCAAAACACCTAAACGTATAGAAAGAAAAACATCGTGAGCAACTTGGAGCAATGGATGCTGTTTTAGGTAATTCTCATTCAGAGAAGGATTTGAAGTTACTAAAGATCGATTTTGCGCCTGCATCCAACTACAGTAGCATTCGCTTTTTTCGGCTTTCGTCTTTAGTTTCACCCACCGTTTTTTTCGGCGGGTGAAACTAGAAACTAGAGCCGAAAAAATTCTGATACTCTCGCAGGCTACCAACCCAGCATGCCCAGTAAAATATATCTGTTAACTGAAGTCAGTTTTTCTACTAACTTTCATCGTGAATTAACCAAACTAAATACGGTACGTGAACACATACTCCGTTTTACTCCTAGTCTGCCCCCGAACGTTACATTTGATACGACAACACTATTTCCTTAGCTAAGAGTTGCACAGTGACAAAGAAGCTAGGCCAATTCCAGCTTAAAATTGATTTGTCGATAGTGCACACCACAGGAAGAAATCAAGTTCATGTGGGTTTCTTACATTTTACCTTTCAGTCTGAAATTTTTAAGCAGGAAAGACAAAAACTGCTCAACAATTGGCCATAGTTCTTCAAAGAATTTGGGACATGGGTGAGCTAGTTAGAAACGCCATCTTGACAAATTTCATAGCCCCGGATTGAAGGCTTATCGAAACATCATTCGATAATAGCTTCTATGCTTAAGCCAGTGGCACATCTAGCTGTGTAGAGAATTTGATTGAATCCCAGCGAAGTAAATGTGAAACCCTAGGAATTGCCAATGAAAAAGAGAATTTGCCTATGCCAACAAGTTGAAAGGAACTATAGGTAGCCAGGGAGCGTTGGGTGTAAGCTGGAATAGAGTGAATCGAGCGTGGTTTTTTATGTAACTCTCAATTTCAACAAAAGAGGAAATGGGGCATACACGTACCCTAATCTCGAAAAAAAAACGGATTTACTCTAGCCCTACCACCAGTGTTGACATGAATAATTGTTTTCTATGAGTCCCAACACAGGGGATGTGACGCAACCTTTGGCCGATTTAGAATTCGCTACTGGGTGCCACATGAAAGCAAACTAGCAAGTTCGGTGAAATGAGCTTTCAGTTGTGCAAAAACCAGAAAAACTAACCCAACGCAAACGTCCTGGGGCAGCAAGTGGAATTTCTAACCGAAGCAAGACTGAAACTTGCCCCTGAATTAACCATGCCATGCTCGGTTTTGTTTGGCCCGTATTTTAAAGCCCAAAAACGCACCAGTGGAAACGCATATGGTGCCAT